AACAGAAACTCTGAAACAGCAGCAGCTCCCAGCTGTTCATGTAAGCTCTCCCCCAACCCGGGACACTGGCCTGTGCCACAGAACCAGCTCTGCGAGATCTGTGAGCTGCTCCTCCAAATCCTCTCATCGGTCACACAGCAGGTCAGTCTGCAGTCTGGCTGATGTGTAATCACCTCATCAGACCGACTTTGCTAAAAGTGAGACAGCTACTTGGAAGAAGTACTCCAACAAGAAGTCTGGGTCTGGTAAATGTTTCCTTAGGTTCAGCTTGCTACAGAAGAGAATGTCTCTTGCTTTGAGCGTGTCTGATGTTCTTGCACCGAGAACACTCAGTGTTGTTCTCCAGTTCAATCTGGCTATGTGAAAGCACTCCTGATAATGTTACCTTTTAGCTTTCTTTGAAGGGGAGTTCTTGCTGTTTTTGCCTACTAAATCGGGGATTGATGTTTTAAGCATGAAGTTGATTCCTCCTCCTGCAGAAGTGGCTCTTCTACCACAGGGAAACATTGCATTAATGTTAGTTGCCTTCAGACTTGCTACCACAGACTGAGGTATGTGCTGTGTACATTCCAGTTTTTCTGTGCATTACAGCCAGTTCTGCACAGGAGTACAACCCCAGCTAATCATTGCTGGGTTGGAAGTCACTGGTGGCATTCTGCACAGCAGTATTGAGAAAATACCTCAGCTGCAAACTCAGTGCTGGACTTGGAGGAGTGCGGCCTTCAGCCATCATTGACTTTCCCAGTCTCAGGCTCTCCAAGCATGTGAAGTAACTTGGAGTATTGCAGAGCCAGGTTATTCCTCTTGTGGCTTCTTTCATATGATGCAGTTTTACAGCAATTGCTGTGCAGTCTCATCAGCTTGGAACATGTGGCTTTTTTCCACTCCTTTGCTATGAATTGGAAACTTTACCCACACAAGAAAGATTATTATTATTATTTTTTTTTTTTTTTAATGAAGAAAACTGAGTATTGCAGTTGAACCCAGCAGGCAGGTAAGTAGCACACGGCTGCTTGGTCACTCCCTGTCAGGGGGATGATGGAACTGGAAAAGAAAAAAATACAAAAATTTATATATTGAGATAAGGACGGTTTAATGGGAAAGGGAGATCAGCAAACCAACCAAACAAACAAAAAAGCAAACCAAATCAAATCGAAACCCAGCCAACCAAAGGAAACAGGTGATGCACTCATTGACCAAGCCAATCCCTGAGCAGCAGCAGCAGCTTCTCTGGCCAACTCCCTCCAGTTTTACAATTTTTTCTCATTATGCCCTATGCTATCAAATATCCCTTTGGAAGGTTTAGGTCAGCTGCCCTGGTCCTGTCCCCCCCCAGCTCTTTGTGCCTCCCAGCCCCCCTCGCTGGAGGATAATATGAGAAACTAAGAAACTGAATCATCCCTGGCTCTGTGCAGCACTGCTCAGCAGCAACTAAAACATCACTGTTGTTAATATTATTCTCACCCTAAATCCAAAGCACGGCACCATACCAACTACTCCAAAGAAAATTAACTCTGTATCGGTCAAAATAGGACAGCCAGTAACAAGTAAGCAGCTGTGGTGAATGAGCATTACCCAAAGACAACAGAAGGTCCAAATTGTTTTACATTTCATTTTATTTTGTAATCCTGCTGGCTGGTTTGGGGAACAAGACAGGGCAGTGCTTCTCAGGAAGGACAGGTAGGACTCTGTTTTGCATAGAATTTAGCGGAGAATTGGAGACCTGCAAGCATTACCATAAGCCTAAATTCCTACTCCATCCCAGCCCTCTCTCACAACATGTATGAGGATCTCATAGACAGAAGCACAGGCAGCTTACTACTGAGACATCATCTGTATTGTATGAAACGGGAAAATAATCATTGTAGATCCTTTTCACTCTGTGTGACTGGGTTAGTGATAGCTAAAATCAAATGTGGATGTGAGAAGCATTTCCTGGCAGAGATGAACAGAAGGAAGGCAGTGATAGGAACTGCATTCCGTTATATAAAAAAAATAAAGGGAAGACCTCCCAACTCCAGGGTAGCAGTGTGTTTGCATAGAATGTTCCCCCAGAAGTATGTTTCTATTATTAGTTTTTTAAACTATTAATAATGTAGCAATACAGTCACAGTATGTGATTTAAGCTTTTTCAGCCTTGTCCTTCCAAGTAGACTTTAACCTGCTACACACTTGGATGCAGCACGCTCGTCTCCATAGAATTGGGTTTATCCAGCCATTTGCATTTACTTCTGACTGCAGCTTTCTTAGAGAAACTTTTGGTTGCTTATCAGGAAAGTGAGACTCGCAGGTACTCCAGCTCTTTCCAAAACATCCTTTCTTTTGTTTCTTCTGTAAACACAACTGCCTACTGTGTTTTTTTTCAATCTAGCTATGTGGAAGTTTTTGGTCATGTCTGTTGATATTTGAGTTTGCTTTGCACTGAGTTACTGTCTGTATGAGTATAAATTGGAGTGTGGCGTGAGGGGAAAAAACCCAACTTTTTCTTTTTTAAGATTGCCTCCATCCACTTCAGAAAAGCCACCTGTGCCTACTCAGGATCCTGAACGATCACTTACAGAATACATCCACCGCTTGGAGATTATCCAGCAAAGACTAGGAGGGGTGCAGTCAGGTAAGAGGAGCACTGCTGCACTCAGAGTTGTGAGCAGCCTGGGGTCCTTTTTGCATGGGTTTGCATGCATATTGTCTGTAATGCTTAGAGAATGTAAAAAGCGTCACTTTGTTGAAAGATTTATTTTATGTGTGGGAGGAGAAAAAAATTAAGTCTCTGAAACGTCGTGCCTCAAATTAGTCCAAGTACATCTTTTCTCAGAGTAACTTCAGTGAAATTCTCCTGAGATAAAAGTGAATGATTTCCGTGCCATTTTTCCCCTCCTGTAATCAAGTCAAATAAGCAAGTTCTGCAGTTTAAATGAAATGTATGGAAATAAGTTGCTTTAAATTCAGTCACTGTGATGTCATTGTAATAGCTGAGTATGGCCTCCTCTGCAGCATGAACTATCCTACTTCCTTCATTTATCACTTCCTGTTGTTCCGTACCAGATAAAAAATGAAAATACCAAGAAAACCCCAAGGAGGCAACCATATTTTTCTCAGGCTAAAAAACACATGAGGCTGGGGTGCCTCCTCCTGGCTCCAGTGAGCCCTATGCATTGGAGAGGCATCTGGGCAGCCATTCCTCTGGGGTCTTTGGAACACCTTCCCCAAAACTTACTTTCCCCATCCAAGTTTGTTATTGAGTTTTCTGGTCTGAGCTTGTATGGGTGATCAAATCAGATAATGCCATGGATGTTTTTGTCCGGCTGTTTTCCCTTTAGACTGCTGTTGCTGATTCTTTCCCTATGTTTTAGATGCTCATCCCCAAATCACTTGTTTACTTCCTGAGACTACTTGTGGGTCACTGCGGTCATCGATCTCTCGGCAAGAAATGTTTATTTCCTCCTACCAGCACCTTCCTTAGTTCCCCATACACTCAGCCAAAAGCTGAACAGATTTTACTGTGCAGATGTCATGGCACTAGGGGTGGGCCACTTTGATCCTTCTGCAAATTGCATATGCACACCTGCATGTTTCTTTCACTACGCATAACCTTTGTCAACGCTGTTTCCCAGGCAATCCTGTATCTTATAACTGTCCTGCAGCTTTTGCACCAAGATGTTGGTTGGGCTGAGGCGAGGAAGAAAAAAACGTACTTGACTGAAACTGCAGAGCTCTGTGACAGTCACTGATGCTCTTACTGCCGCTTCCTTGATCTCTGTCATCAGCAGATAGATCATCTCTATGGAGATGTTTGTGGAGGGTGGGGCAGGCATTCAGTTGCTGACCCAGCAAAGGTATCAGTAATGGTTTGTACTTATTTCTGCATTTGGAAAAATAACGACTTTAAAACTAACTTCTGAGGCAGATTCTTAAGATCATGTGGTACAATCCTAACACACCCTCAGAGTTAACCTTGACAACTTAAACTTGAAAACCATGTGTGTTTCTCTTGAGAGAAGATTTTGGCTTTGCCACAGTTCATAGGAGCATGGTACAGCTGGATAACAGCCCTGGGGAAAGTCCAAGACATTGTTTTTCTGGCTGACTTCACCAAATACTTTTTTTTGTTTTTAAGGTTTAAAAGGTTAAAAAATAATAATAATAAAAAAAAAAGGTTAACTTTTTTTTGCAAATCCTGATCTTTTATCCTTAAAGTAAACGGCTACACTGTGGCACTTCCGTGTGGAAACTAGCACCCTTGGCAGCATTTTTCCTAGAAACCTTAACATCATGACCTTTGTTTTTTCTTTTCCGAAGTACTTTGTTTATGGCAGATGTGGATAATCAGATGTTAGAATTGAAACCTGCAGCATTTCACAGGATGAGGTATTTTGTGCTAAGTGTGGAGCACTTAACTGAGTACAATGCATAATGGTTGGAGGACGTTCACGGTACCAGAATGACGCTGTGGGGAGTTGCAGCACCATACATGAAGCTTCAGAACAGAGCTCTGAGTAACGTGAGGTTGCTGCACTTTACATCACCCCACAGATACAACAGCTTGAACAGCAGCAGAGTGCAGGTGGGATCATCACAAGAGCAGTCGGTTGAAGAAGCAATCCATTGCTCTCTGCATGCTCTTTGAGTGAGCATTGGTCTTAACGTGTGAATGTTTGCTTTGGCAGGGTGGTAAGCTTTCAGGTTCCTGGGTGATCATGAAGATGGTAATTGCTTTCAGTGTAGCTCGTGTGAAGTATATGGAGGAAATAACATGCTGCTAACTGCACCCTGTTTAGCATAGCACAAGCACTTTTCTAATACCCATTTGTTTTATTTAAATTTAGGACAAGTTCCAGGCCTGCCTTGCCAGAGAAACATGAAAAAGTGATCAGAATGCTTCTGAAATCTGTGCTGTGAAACCGCCAAGTTATTGCTTCCTTCTGAGTTATTCCCTGGTGAATGGAGCACTTGTCATCTCCTGTGCAACTAAATAAAGGGCAGCGCTTTTGCGTCAGAATTTCATGACTTTTTATTATACTTCAGTACTATAAGAGGAAATTTCTTTCCACTAAAAGCAATGTTTTACATTCTCATGCAGAATTACTGGTATGTTGACAGCTGAAGTGTGCCTGTGTCACTGTACTGTCAATTGCAAAGAGTCTGTCCGGTGTTTATTTTTCTATAGTGTATAGCTGGATTCCTTGTAAAAAAAAAAAAAAAAAAAAAAGTTATTAAAATCACATTTTATTAGTGAGCTCTTACAGCATATAGTTATTTGTTTTCACCTTACAATTTTTTCTTTTTCTTTTTTTTTCTTATTATCTGTGTTTTAGTATTTCTGCAAGATTGTTAACTAACAGCAGCTAAAAAAACTCTCCCAAATCATCTTTAAGACACATTGCCTTCTGGGATTTCAAGATTTGCTTTTTTGGCTTTGCAATAAATAGGACTTGTTTCCCTCAGTCTTCCTCGTCACATTCCATTTCAGTATCAAGCCACTCCTTGGATTCTTCTATGACTGACCTTGACCTAATAGAAATTTAGAAAAAGAAAAGAGCTAACTTTTTTGCAATTACTGATCTTGTTTATATCCCTAAAATCAACAGCTGTGGTGACTTTCTCACGTGGAAACTCCGACACCGTGCTCAGCAGGATTTTCCCTGGCACCCTTAACATGGTGTCTATATCCATGATACATTTGACATTGCTAGAGAACATCAGTCTTCCTCAGTTCATGCCAGGAGCTTCTGTGCCACTTGGAGGCACTTGGCTTTGGAGCTCTGGTGCCAGCCCTTGGAAGATGTATTCTTGCCCAGAGTCCTGGCACTGCTGGACTGATCCTGCTCTGACCACTTTTGTCCTTAGCCCATGCTTCTGGCTGTTGTGAGGAAGTGCTGTCCCCAACAAGGCAGTGTGTTTTTGTTCTTCACTGGTTGGAGCATCTAGTGCTGCATTCTGGGGTCACAGGAACACAGGATGCTGCAGTTCAGGCTCACACCCACAGCTCTGAGAGGCAAAGCTGCCCTTGGGCAATGTGGCTTGCTGATGAGTGCTGATGGGTGTCATTCTGCATCTGGGTGCCCTATCCCACAGCTCTGCCATGGGCAAAGCCTTTGAGTGCCTCCCTTGTCCCTGCAGGCTGACTGCTCCAGAGGTACCTGTGCATGAACAAACAATACCTGATTTGGTGTGAAAGCCTGGAGAGTAAGGTGGCTTCTGTAAAGTTCTAACCACGTGAATCGACAGAGCAAGTTTATACAGATCCATGAGCATGGCAGATTCCTTTCATTCTGGTTCCGGGGCCTTTAGGCAGATCTGTCAAAATATGCCCTGAATGTTAATGGTGTCTTTAACACAGCATCAGGTTGTATTCTGCTATACACAGTATGCATCTCCAGACAGGCATTCACAGCTGACACTGAATAAAATCCATAATTTCATGTTTGCACGTGAATCGCACTTTGCATTTTTCCTTTGGGTGTAGGAGGGCCGTCAGGACCTGGCTCCGCAGCAGTTCGGTGCTGCTTTTTTTTTTTATCTCTGCCGTGCACCACCCTCTGTAAGTTAAGCATCATGGGCTGGGCGCAGACACACGTGTGAGACAGGGGCTTGGTCCACGTGTACAGAGCCATCCCTGCACACGGTGGGCCGGGAGGGGCTGGTAGGCAGCGGCAGCAGTGACGCTGGAACTCCCAGTGAACGGTGAGGTCTGACGCCCAACTCTTTGGGCAGACAGCCGGCCCACCTTTACAAAGGTCAATCTGGGGGTGTGCGCTGTCTACGTGCTCTGCTGGTAGTGGGTTGGCACGACATGAGGATTGCTTCTGCTCTTTGCAATGAGTGTAGTGCCTGAGGTACGCTGGCACATCTGTCTGTGCCGTAAGCAATCCATCGTCCGGGAGATTGACTGCTCTGGAAGGGTGGACGAGACCGGAAACGGTCCGAGCGCTATTTTGCCGCGTACAGAACGCTCGGTATTTCCTTACCGGCGCTGTGTGCCATAGCGCAGAGCACTGCGGCAGGTCAGCCCCAGGGCCGCGCGCGCGCTTGGCACAGCGGGGTCCCGATTTCAGAACCGACCGAGGCTCCTCCGCCACCCCGCAGGGCTCCCGCTCACCGAGGACGGCCCGGCGCGAACGCGCGCGGTGGTGCCGCTCCGGCTGCGCTGTGCAGCCCCGTCCCGTCCTCGCGCGGAGCCGCCCCTCGTCTTTCCGCCGCGGCGCCGCTCCGCCCGGCGCTGCCGGCCGCTGGGAGGCGCTGCCCGGGCCCGGCCCGGCGGCTGCGCGGTGCGGTCGGGCCGGGAGCTCCCCTTCCTGCCGCTCCCGCCGGAGGCGGTGCTGGGCGGCGGCCGCGGCGGGCCCGCGCTATGGCGGCCGAGCGGGGCGGCTGCTCGGTGGACGCGGTGCCGCTGCCGCCCGAGGTGCGCGAGAGCCTGGCGGAGCTGGAGCTGGAGCTGTCGGAAGGTGAGAGCGGAGCGGCGGCGGCCGAGCTTCGGGGCGGCGCGGTGCTGGGGCGCGGTGCCTCCGCCGCGGCGCCCGGAGAGGGGCGCGGGAGCGGCTCCGGCCTCGCCCCGCTTCCCGCGGCCGTGCCCGGGTCGTGCCGGGGGCTTCGGCACCGCCGGCCGGCCTCGATTGCCGCGAGGCCGTGCGCGGGGCCGTGTCTGAGTGCGGCCCTGCAGCGCCGCTCCCTTCCTCCGCCTCCGCTCGGCGCTGGGCGGCGGTTCGGCGGTTCGGTTCTTCGGTTCTGCTGGTCGGTTCGGCGGTTCTTCGGTCTGCTGGGCGGTTCGGCGGTTCGGCCGTGGCCCCGCGCTGCCGGTCTCACCGCTCCGCTGCCGCTCGGACGCCCCGCGCTGCCCGGCCCGGCGGATCGGCGCTGGGCGCTGCCTTCGCTGCCCGTCGAGGTCTGAGATCCGAAGCGAATCGTTTTTCGCCTCGGTGCGGTTCTGTGCAGAGCTCTTCAACGTGAGAAAGGACAGCCGTGGCGGTGTTCTTCCCCTGTCCGTTCCGGCCCGTCGCTGCCCGCAGGCATGGGGGGAATCTCCTTCTCCGGGACGCTTCCCGTGCGACCTGCCGGTAGGCACCTGCTACGGCGCGGCTTTGGTGGGGGATCTGCAGATGCGCAGAGATCCTTTCCAGCCCCCCGGCCCCGTGCTGCCGTGTGTCGGCTCTGTGACCGCCTGCCGTTCGCAGGCGCTGCTCGGACAGACGCGCTGCCCTTGGTGCGCAGCGCTCACGTGCTCGGGTGGGAAGGAGCGGCGATTCCGGGTCGTATGTTTGCGGTTTAATCTATGGAGGATGGGTACAGTCTGTGATACCCTGTTTCTGGAAGAAGTAAATTAATCCGTGCAGACCGTTGGTTATTTCCCTCTTTCAAACGCAGGTGAGTGTCCTCTTTCGAGTGGCTCCTGGGATCCTCCATGCTGCACGGCCGCGATGGGCGTGCTGAGTTCAGCAGCTCCTGCTGCTGCCTGCGGTCTGCTGAAGGTGCCCGTGGCTCCTTCCTGTGGAAGGAAGGAAGAGAACTTGAAACAGTTTTCATCTATAAATAAACCGGGAAGCTGGTTCAGAATTTCCCCCTTTTTTGCCGTAGGTTGTCATGGCAAAACTTGAGGGAACTAAAGGTTGGAATCCATTTTTTTTCCTGAAGTTCAGTCTGCAATGCAGATACAAATGCCCTTGTGTTGTTTCCAAGTTTGTGTCTCGTTATGACGGAGTATTGCACCTTTGTGAATAGATGAAGTATTTGTGCAGTGCTTTCCATTAATGTTTGATAATTTTCAAGAGCAGTCCTTGTTTAGACACAAATGCCACTCGTGTAATTTATTCTTTCATTAAAACTCCAGTTTATTTGAGAGCTGCACCTGGAAACACATTCGTGGCTCCCTGTGGTGTGGCTTGTGCTTAGCTGTCCCCTTGTCCTTCTCAGCTTTCTCCATAGCATGTTGCTATAGGCAGGCTAATTTGGGGGGGGGAGCTGTACTCAAGCTCTTAGCAGAGATTCTCTCTGCTGTAGAGAGGTTTGTTTGTTTGTTTTTCCAGTTCAGGTATATTCCGCTGCCTGTCAGTGCTGCTTGTCACCTTGGAAGTTCATTTCTGGATGACTTCTGTCCAATAGGATCAGCCTAAAGACAGAGGAATGCTTGCATGGAGTTTATTATCTTAATTATAGCCTTATGATGAAACAGTGCAGTGTACCGAGCACCTGGCTGTTGTGTCCGTGCTCTGATGCCTGCAGATGAGTTTAGCAGTGACTGCTGGGCAGTGCGTGACTGTGCTGACTGCACTAACTGGGGAGACCTGCTGGCACTTCAGTGTGGTTTCCTGACAGTGAAGTGCAGTATTGGACAGCAAAGGTGTTCCTGCACCTTTCTGTTAGGGAAGTTCTCAGGACATACGTCTGTAATTTGTGCGTTTGTTCATGTGATCATTTAATACCTGAAAACAAATATGATCTGCAGAACGTTAGAACTGGCGAGACAGATCCTTTGCAAGTGACCGTCGGTGGAACTTGACCTTGACCTGCAACGTCTTCAGTGCTTAGTTTCAGAGCCTCTCCAACAGAAGATACTGTGTCACTGTGTGATAACATCTGAAGATTGCCTGCTGCTACTGGGAGTAAGTGAGCGTGTGGACCAGGGAGGGGCTGCTGTTGAGCATGCGGTGCCCTTCATCAGGTTTGCAGTTGGGAGAGGTCACAGTGTTTCAGTAGTGCGTCCCTACACACTGACAGCTTTGGTCATGCTTGTGTTTCTGCTGTTTGGTGCATGTGTTATAGGGATGTCGTTAGGAGAGATTCCATTACCTCAAGGAGATGCTTGACTGGGCAGTTGGCCTTGTTGAGCCTCATCCCATTGGCCTCAGCCCAGCGACCCAGCTTATCGAGATCCCTCTGCAGGGCCTCCCTGCCCTCACGCAGATCCACACCACCTCCCAACTTGGTGTATCTGCAAACTTTCTGAGGGTGCTCTCAATGTCCTCATCTAGGTCATCAGTAAAGATATTAAACAGGATGGGCCCCAGTACTGAGCCCTGGGGGACACCACTTGAAACGGGTCGCCAGCTGGACTTAGCTCCACTGGGCAGGGCCCGTTAGCTGGTTCCTTACCCAAAGAAGAATATACCTGTGCAGGCCACGGGAGCCAGTTTCCCCAGGAGAATGCTGTGAGAGACCGTGTCAAAGGCTTTGCTGAAGTCTAGGCAGACTACATCGACAGCCCTTCCCTCATCTACCAGTCTGGTCACCCAGTCGTAGAAGGAGATGAGGTTGGTCAGGCACGACCTGCCTCTCATGAACCCGTGCTGGCTGTGCCTGATGCCCTGGATGCCACGCACGTGCCGTGTGATCTCACCCAAGATGAGTTGCTCCATAACTTTCCCTGGTAACCGAGGTCAGGCTGACAGGCCTGTAGTTCCCCGGATCCTCCTTACAGCCCTTCTTGTAGACGGGAGTCACATCGGCAAGCCTCCGATCCTCTGGGACCTCTCCAGACAACCAGAAGCGCTGGTGGATGGCCGAGAGCAGCTCAGCAGTCACCCCTGCCAGCTCCCTCCGCACCCTGGGATGGAGCCTGCCGGTCCCATGGACTTGTGACAGTCCAGACAGAGGAGGAGTTCTGTGTCTCCATCTGAATCACTGGGGATGTATTGTGCCTTCCATTCCAGACTTCCAGATCAGGGTGTAAAGTGCCCTGATGATAACTGATCTGCTTGTTAAAGGCAGATGTAAAGAAGGTGCTGAGGACCTCAGCCTTCTCCTTATCCTCAGTGGTCACATTCCTTGCTGCATCAAGCAAAGGATGGAAATTCTCCTTGGTTCTTCTCTTACCATTGATATATTTATAAAAGGATTTCTTATTCTCCTTTACTGCAGTGGCGAATCTGAGTTCAAGTTGGACTTTTGCCCTCCTAAATTCCTCCCTGCATACCTTAGCAACTTCTCATAATCTCCCCAAGCAGCCTGTCCCTTATTCATGGACTCTCTCTTTTTCTTCTGGACTCTCAGCAGTAGTTTTTGGCTCATCCACACCGGTCTTCTTCCCCTACAGCTTGCCTTACGGCACTCAGGAACAGCCTGTTCTTGTGCACCGCTTGTTGAGTTTGGTGGGAGAACTTTGGTTTGGTTGTGCTGCCAGCCCTTGGGTGCCAGCATTTGTCCCACAGGACTTTCTCCTTCTCTTTGCTCTGCTTCCCAACCTTGTTAAGTTTTTTGCCAGTCTGTGAGGGCACGGCTGGGCTCAGTGGTCCTGTCCAGAACGTGATGAATGTGGTTTTGTAAAGTGAGATGCCATCACTGGAGCTGTCCCCAGTGCTTCACAGTTATCCCAGCACATTAATGTAATTGCAGCACTGATAAACAGGAGGCTGGTAGCAGTGCTGGCTGTATTACTGCAGTCAAAACCAGTTTTTCATGCTTTTACTGGTGTCTTAACTTAATTTTCCCCTTTTTTATTGTTTCAAATGAAAAGCTATTCCTGAAAAAGGGGACGGGTTGTCAGTACTGCTGCAGAAATGTTGTGTTGTTATCTAAGCCTTGCTATGTCTTTATTAAAACTAACTTGTAAATTAGAGGCTTAAGTGAGATGGCAGTTAACAAAAACAGTGTGAAAACTTTGAAGTCCTGTGCGCCATTCTCTGTGATTATAAGATAAAGAGAAGCCGACCTCCACAATCAGAGTGGAATTTAGGATTTTTTTTTTCCTCTGTTTTGGAGGGTAATTAGAAATGGTGTGAGGAACATCCCGTATGGAGTCTCGGGTTGGTGTTAGAGATGAGCAGCAGCCATGTTGGAAAGCTCTACCAGAGCAGCAGCGTAGCATGGTTGGCCGTGGGTTTTGTCTGTAGTGCTCCATCCCTTTCTTGCAGATTCCCAGTTCCTCCATCACTTCCACTGGTCTTGGAGTTTTTTCATTTGCAGGTTGTATTATTTTCTATAAGATTTTTTTTCCTTTTTGTTGAACGAGGAAACTTGTTCTGAAACATGATTTCATTGATGAAGTGCTATGGAGCATGAAGCAATGATTCAAGACCTCAGCTTGCTGAGTTACAAATGTAGCCCCGCGTGTGTTACTGGTTGTAACATCCTTTTA